ACACCGCCCCCCGCCCTCATACCACCGAGTGTTCGTTGTTGTGGTGGTGGTGATGCGTTCCACTGCCGCTCAGCACCGTGTGGTTAATGGACGACGCCGAGCGGTCCGATCCTTCTGCCACCGTCCCGTTCACGTTCTCCTGTCGCTGGCAGCACAGGATCTGCCTGAAGGTGGCGCTCATCTCCTTGTCCCTGTAGGAGTAGATGATGGGGTTCATGGCTGAGTTGAATTCGGCGAGAAGAAGGAAGAATTTCTCGTAGGTGAGGACGTTACAGCTGGCACAGAAAACATCGAGGAGGAGGATGACGAGGCCGGGCGTCCAGCAGACGATGAAGGCACCTGAAGAAAGACGGGGGAGAGAAGTGGGGGGAGAGAAGTGGGGGGTGAGAAGGGGGAGGGTGAGAAGGGGGAGGGTTATTTGCTCAATTTTTCTTTACAAACTTTCCTGAGATCAGTGGTTCCCAAAATGAGGGAAGGGACCCCCAGTTGGGTTCATAAGAACAGTACCTTTGTAGAACTGAAGGTGAGTACAACAGTCGTAGGACTGTCACTGGAAGGCACCACCTAGTGGCCAAAACCAGAACTGAGCAGCTTCGCTCACTCAGTTCAGGTGCTGTGGTACCGACTGGTACCGACTGTACTTGACTGGATTAACTGCAGTATATTGTATATTATATATATGGATGACAGTGAGGTCAAGACTGAGCATCTTTGTAAACATATAAATAAAAAGATGAAAAATTCATATAAATATGTGTTTGTATATATGAGACAGTATAAACACATATTTACACTATAAATGCACTGTATATATGTACTGTATATATATATGTACTGTATATCTGTACTGTATATCTGTACTGTATATATGTGCTATATATATGTGCTGCATATATGTGCTGTATATATATATATGTGCTGTATATATATGTGTGCTGTATATATATATATATGTGCTGTATATATATGTGTGCTGTATATATATGTACTGTATATATATATGTGCTGTATATATGTGCTGTATATATGTGCTGTATATATGTGCTGTATATATGTGCTGTATATATGTGCTGTATATATGTGCTGTATATATGTGCTGTATATATGTGCTGTATATATGTGCTGTATATATGTGCTGTATATATGTGCTGTATATATGTGCTGTATATATGTGCTGTATATATGTGCTGTATATATGTGCTGTATATATGTGCTGTATATATGTGCTGTATATATGTGCTGTATATATGTGCTGTATATATGTGCTGTATATATGTGCTGTATATATGTGCTGTATATATGTGCTGTATATAT